ACAAACACTTGAAATAACAGCGAAGCACAGAGGTGTAGGGGTGATGATGTGGGAAACCTTTCTGTCATTTAGCCTGTGACCAAACCTGATGATGTGGCTGAACTGTTTTCTCTCTGTTTTCCTCTTCAGCTGCATGGACCCGTCTATAGCCATCAAACCAGTCTTTCAGAGGTTTCAGTCAGTCATCATCACATCAGGGGTACGGCTCACTCTTTGCTCCTTTTAATAAATAAAGACTTAAGTCCCTTTTTTCCCCAAATATGTACAACATGGATCTCATGATAAAATAAATAAATATAAATCCTCATTTTAAAGAGAGAACTAATTCAGCGTTGCATAAAGTCAAAGGTTACATACATAACAGTGCTGGTGCTTTTTAGAATACAAATAAATATTTTAAGGATTAAACTAAGGATAAAAGCCAAAGGAATTAAGTCAGATTTTTATTCCAGTTTTGAAGTGATTCTAGACTGAAGTTGCAGAGTAAGTAAAATTTACTTTTTACAGATAAAAAACACAAAGTGCTTCACAGTAAAAATGTAATACAATAAAACAATGTAGAATACAATGTATATCAACATTTTAAAAACAAATGGAAACATACAAAACCATAAAAACCACACGTCTAATTAAAAGCCTGCTAGAATAGCAGCGTCTTCAGTTGCTTTTTAAAAGAATCAACAGAATTCAATAAACGGTAAAAGAAGGTTTTCCTCCCTGATTCTGCACAGAGAGTAATGATGTCCTTTGATCAAAGGATGCAGCTGGCAGCTTTATGGCACATATGAAAAATATTATGAGGGCAACAAGCCAAGAATTGATATCTTGATAAAAGGACGGGTTAGTGTTTGACTCTTAGCTCTAAATGAACCCAAAGAACCCAAGAAAATAGAAATCCATCTAAAAATGTCCGCTTAGTTTAAAAGAGACGAGAAGCAACAATACAGAAAAAAATGTAATAATTCTATGGAAGAAACCAAATATTAGTCTGTTTAAAGAAAGCAAGATTCCCAACATCAGCTTAAAACTTAAGGTTTTAATCGTTTAAGTCCAAATGTTTGTAGGGAGATCCAGATTTGATCCCTCTGAGGGTAAAACTGCATCAGCAGGAACTTAGACTTAGACTTAGACAGAACTTTATTGATCCCTTGGGAAGACTCCCTCTGGAAATTAAGGTTACCAGCAGCTTACAGGGCAAAAAAGTATTAAGTTAAATTAAGTTAAAATTAAGCAAAATACAAATACAAATAAATATGGAGCTCACATTTAACAGAAAAAATAAAAAAACAGAAGTGTTGCTACTCCTTTCCTCTTCCCTGTGTTCTTCATAGCAGCTGATCCTGCAGTATTCTTTTTCTCATTTTTTTTTTCCTGCTGTGAAGAAACATTAACCTCAAAGAAAATTTCAGCTCGATATGCAAACGATTACAGCGTGTTGCTTTTATTCTCATATCAGACCCTCTCTCCGTTGGACATCTACCCCCGCATCCTCGACTTTCGGCCTGTTACCATGGCGTCTTTCACCATGACGCTGGCACGGACCTGCCTCTGCCCTCTGGTTTGTACCTGACACCCCCCCTCCACAGCAGCACTCTTCACTTTAGTCTCAGTCTCTGTTTAATCTCTTGTTTTATAATTAAAAGCATCTGTTCATCCACAGATTGTCGGCAGGGGGAACGACCAGGTGGCTCTGAGCTCAAAGTTTGAGACCAGGGAGGATTTCGGTAAGCTTAAATGTTTTAGAAAATGATTTGACTTTGTTTCTAGCTCCCATCATCTAAAACAAAAAGTCTTTGTTGCCTTCCAGCTGTGATCCGTAACTACGGTAACCTTCTCCTGGAAATGTCTGCCATCGTTCCGGACGGGATCGTGGCGTTTTTCACCAGCTACGTCTACATGGAGAACATAGTGGCAGCTTGGTATGAGCAGGTGGGTGAGGAGACGTGTTTGTTTTGCCAAAAACAGTTTTACTGCTGCAGCCGACTTTAAAATGAAACGTTCTTCTGTTTCGTGTTTGCAGGGAATCCTGGAGAACATCCAGAGGAACAAGCTGATCTTCATCGAAACACAAGATGCAGCAGAGACCAGCATGGCTCTGGAGAAGTACCAGGAGGTCGGAGAACTTCTAGGAACAGTTTTATTTATTTTACGGCTGTTTTTAAAAATGAGATTTCAATATTAGTGAAAATCCTGTTTCCTTTTTGTTTGTTTTTTTCAGGCGTGTGAGAACGGCAGAGGAGCCATCCTCCTCTCCGTGGCCAGAGGAAAGGTGTCAGAAGGGATCGATTTTGGTGAATGTCTCTGATTAATGGAAACCCTGCTAAGGAGATGTGGAAACAAAGGAGGAATAATGGGGTGTTTATTTTCTTCATCCAGTGCACCACTTCGGCCGAGCGGTCATCATGTTTGGAGTCCCATATGTTTACACTCAGAGCCGCATCCTGAAGGTAAGAATCCTCTCTGCATACCTTTATTTAAGCTCCCTCTATAGCGCTATCACATCGAAACGAGTCCAATGATAACTTAATCCCACCATGCTAAATGATAATCAGAACAATTGGGTTCCAGATTTAGCTTTGCCAACTTTCCAGGTGGCTTCTTCCTGTAGAACAAAGGCGTGCTCGTTAGGTTAACGCCACTCGCTGTAAATCCATTGGTTCTCTGTAGAACTGTGGTGAACTAGTGCAACCAGCACTGGAAAAACGTGTCGTTTTGATTGTTTGCTTCCACTTTTAGTGTCTGCAGCTTTTTAGAGTTGGCATCATACATGTTCTGCAGCTTGTTTGGTCATTTACTGAACATTTGCACCAGTCGGCCACCGTATTGTGACCCAGTGACTGACTGGTGGCATGATTATGGTGTAGCCTGGCTGTACTGTGACAGCTGGAGCTGGGCAGCAGGCCTTCCTGCAAAAACCCTGGAGGGATGGATAGGAAATGTAGTCATAAGTCCCATTTACACAACCTTTTTGAAACCGTTCTGAGATAACTGAGTGTAAATGGCAAGCAGAACTGAACTGGACCGCCCCAGACACAACCGAACCAGACTAAACCGGTACTAGTTCATCAATGGGGCTCGGCACGGTTCAGTTCTGGCTCGGTTCTCGGATAACAAAGCGCACATGAGCAGACCGCGTCATCTCCTTACAGTCAGCCTCTGTAATCAGGAAACTTCAGACATTCATAAAAATACTAGCTTCCACATGATTTCCAGTGATGATTCTGCTTGGCAGTGTGATGAACCTTAATGAACCCCTGATTAGACTATCATTTGTCGTATCCACTTCCCAAAAGCCGACTCTGTCATGTAATTTCACCAAAGGCTGCCTTTTTCCCCTGACTGTCCACAAACGACGAAATATCACAATTATAACCAAACTTCCTGAATGTTACGAGCACCGACATGTTGATTTGATTGTTTACCCCTAGAGAGCAGTAGTACCGCAGATCACCACTAGGAGGAGAGGAACCGTGCTAGAGTGATGTTTACACAGTCTTAAGGAACTGTGAAATCTGCACGGTTAACTGATCCAAGCTCGGTCTGAACTCTGCACGGGTCAGTTTTCAGAGGTAGTGTAAATGGGGCTATAATTGAAGAAATTAGACTTTTAACATTTAAAAGAAAC